ACTTTGTTTAAAATATCCTCCATGCATGCCATTCTGACTAATAAGTCATGTCCCTAGGAATGAGAACTCTACAATTTTAGCTCTTTGGTTTTTAAAAAAAAACACATTTTGATTTATATTCAAAAAACAGCACTGTAGTGTATTCAGTATTTCCCACTTCAATGTTAAATTAATAGTATGTCGCTAAATGATTAGATCTGTGTTTCTCAACCTTGGCGACTTCAAATCCTGTGGACTCCACCTCTCAGAACCCCCCAGCCAGCAATGCTGGCTGGGGGATTCTGGGAGTTGAAGTCCACAGGATTTAAAGTCGCCAAGGTTGAGAAACACAGATCTAATCATTTAGCGACATACTATTAATTTAACATTGAAGTGGGAAATACTGAATACACTACAGTGCTGTTTTTTGAATATAAATCAAAATGTGTTTTTTTTTAAAAACCAAAGAGCTAAAATTGTAGAGTTCTCATTCCTAGGGACATGACTTATTAGTCAGAATGGCATGCATGGAGGATATTTTAAACAAAGTTCCCTTTTACACATCAAGAAGGCACAGCAGCTGCTTAATCGTTTCAGTTGGGTTCAACTGCCAGTTCATTAATTTATGTGAACCTCACTTAAGACCATCCCGAAATGTACAATTGCTAAAATCTGTTCCTACAAATCAAGGTTGAGAAATCCCCTCTTGACACCCAAACACTAGAAAATAGCCAGAATCTACAAGTCCTCTAACAAGCAATTAATTATCCCCTAATTCTGTTGTGTGTATCAACTACCATTTCAACAAAAGTTGAAACAAGAGTTATTTTCCCTCCGGGAAAATTCCAACTGGGTCAACTGACTGTCGGTTGTGGAAAGTATAGCTAAAGGTACCATCCAATACAATCTTAAATAGATGCGTATATTTTAATTAATAGTAATGTTATTTTTCAAGGCAATGATAACCACCCAGAACAAAGTGAGGCCACTTTTTTCCCATTTCACAATCATTTATCATACAAGGCTATATCTGTCTACAACATATAACATATAATCAGTCTGTAATATTTATACAGATAAATATCTTTATCTGTATATATCAGATAAATTTACCTCATCATAAACATGCTCTTTGAAAATTCTAATTTCTGTTTAAATATCCATGAAAAAATAGTTATGATCATAACTGCCTTCATGACTTATCACTGGATGTTTTTTTTTTCAATTATGTAAAATGTTGAAATCGTTTGAAACGTTATGTTCCATTGCACTGAAGCCTCTTCTCTGAGGGGAAAATAAACAGCCAATATCTTCATAAAAATATTTGCTCCCGGGTCTTCCATAAACTTTTTATCACCGATTTCTGCAGCTGGCAAAAACGTCACACCGTGTAATCTGATTAACCAAAACCTCATCCTTTCCAGCAAGTGTTTGACACTTTCAATCAATCTGTCAGCTGGATTATTCATCTACTGAAAAAAAGCATTTCCTTTTAATTTTGTTTATTTAATATTTTCCTTGAGCAACTGTTTAAAATATTGTAGGAGTCGTTTCCTTTAACATCATTACTTGCAAAATAAGGGGCCAAAATGGGAAAGCAGTTTAAAAGTTTAAATGTTGAAATGTACTGTTAAGCTGAAATTCTGTACTTACCTGGAAATAAACCCTGAATGGGATTTCCTTCCAAAGAGAAATCATTGTTCGGTACTTGTACATATTTGGTCTTTTTCATATGCCAACAACCTTTTGAAAACTGTGTTTATGTAATTATAGTACCGTGAATAGGATTAGCAAATGTATATTATTATTGGCTTCGTTTATTCTACCAGTCCAATTAATATGAAACAGTTATGAGAAACAGTTTAAATTTGTCAGAATATTCTGCACTAAGTGGCTGTGTATAAAAGGGTAGGCATTTAATAATATGCTGAAATCTACATTCCAAACCATTAAAGACAAGTGAAATGAATGTATTTTACTTTCAAGAAAACATTGTTTACAACTATGATGCAATTTGCCAAAATGAATCCATCGTATTTGAATAAGGAATATAATTTTCCCTATTTGCATCTAAACCATGGTAATTGTTATTGTTTCTGCCATGTCCTATATTATTGCCTTCATCTCATAAGCAATCCAGGACAAGTATAAGTATTCCAGCCTCCTTATTAAAACACTATCCAAAGGCAGCATCATGGTACAGCATAAATCTGTCAGGTTTTGTCACTAATTATCTTGGGTGGAAGTGACTTAACAAAGGCAGGAAAAAGGATTGGGATCAGCAGTGGAGACAGATTTCACATATGTGCAGAGTGAATTCACAATATCCACAGAATTTCACAGAATAACTCAAGGATGGAGAGCGTAAGAACATGTGGAGGTAGCTTTTAATAACCCCTAAGAGAAGAACAGACTACTGTATATCGTCCAACGAATATTTTCCGAAAGATCAGTATATTTGAATATGACTTGCTCCCAAGTGATGTCTATGATTCTACGCACACCAGTTCTTCCGAATATATTTCATGCTCACGTGTACAACATTTTAGCACTGTATCTTTAAATTAATTACACCAGTAATTACATAGGTTTTATGATGTCGGCTGGATTATTTCAGAAAAGTTCCCTTCAAAATGAAGTTGGCACATTTATAACTTAATGAGAAAGAGATTCCCAGAAGAATAGCAAAGAGCAGATAGAGCAAGCCAAAGTTTAAGTAACACAACACATCTGTATTTTCCAAGCACAAGCTCCACAGATGTTGTAAATTACTCTCTTTTTTTTCAGTTGTCTCTCTCTGAAAAGTGTCAAGTTCAGCAAAGACTGGAAATTTTCACAGCAAGAGTTGTCAACAATTACGCTCAACAGCACTGGACTTGTTGGAGGAATGAATCATTTAGAGAGAGAGAAAAAAATGATGCAATGACATTCAACACTGTTTTAAATAAACTATACATCAGGCTGTAAGGATAAAGTTTATGCAGTATAAACCAGACTGCTTTGCATTTTAAAACACTCAAAAGTTATTTGTTATTGTTAATCAGATCATTTTGCTAATCTACAGTCCATGTTTAATGGCATATTATTCCTATTGGTTTCAATGACGACATCTAAGTGAATTTGCATACCAAACAGACCTTTCAGTTTTACTTTATGTAGCAGGGACTCACTCAAAACATATATTTTTTAACATTGCATTAGATTGGAGGCGGGGAATGGAGATTTTTGTAACTCTGAACAGTTAAAATTAGCACAGTATCTTATTTCTCAAATCCAGCTAAACCTTTACTATTCAGTGTATTTGTGGCTATGTCTTTAGGATCTGAAATTATCCTCAGTCGGGTGTAAAGATATTTCAACTGATATAAGCCAAAGCATGAGAATATTATTTGAGAACCCCTGGGCGAGGGGTATTGCATAATTTACTTTCCAGTGTACATTACTCCCCCACAAAACAAATAAAATGCCAGCACAAGTTCCCAAAGAAAGAAAATTTGGGTTTCTATTGTACAATCTTTTGGGGGGGGGAGCCGCACTCAAGAATCAGACCTTCTCCTTCCAGGATGATTTCTATTTATCAACGGTGATGTCAGAATATAATCTATTCCTGCCTTCTTCCACATCAAAGGATGCATCGCTTCCATCTGTCACTCTCCTTTTGCAGGTTAGGAAGAAGGTGTGTGGGATTTCCAACAACGCATCTGTTGGGCATCTCCACCACAGGTTGAGTTTGTCTTCCCTCAGCTGGAAAGTGAAGGAATCAAACTTTTAAACTGGATCCTTCAACTAACCTTTTCAAGTTTGGGGAGAAAAAGAACCTTACAAATAACTCTTCCAGCCCTCCCTTCCCTTTCCAGAAAGAGCCCGTTTCCTTTAACAATAACACAGTTACATTCCTCGGTTTGAGAAACTAAGTATCCAGCATATCCCGCCGTTTCCTCGGCTCGGGGGTCTGGAAGGTCCTTTGACAGAAGGGTTTCCTGCCCATAATTCTCCCCACCCCCCAACGAACCTCGCACGAGGCGGTGTAAAGGCCAAGGGATCCGCAGCCTTGTAAACCCTCCGCTTTGGAGCTGAGTTTCTCTGAAACCAGTAAAACTTCATCCACAGAGCCCAGAAAAACCAGACTGTCCCACCCGGGGGGGGCTTCCCCTCGCAGCTCTTTCCAGAGCCAGAATCTACCGAGGCTGCGCTGGAGACGCCGAAACGCCGGGAGACGAGGCTCCTGAGCATGCACAGAGCGCCGCGCGCGCCCTGTAGCGCTTCCAGGGACTGGAGCCCATAAGTCTCCGGGCGAAACGAAGCGCTTCCCCTCCACGCACACAGACACACAAACACACACACGCAGAGCCCCCCGGTCCCCCCTTACGCACAAGGAGACGGTGCGGTTGGGCAGCCAGGCGGGGGGCAAAGTTTCCGCCAAGTGGCCTCCGCTGCAGACGACTTTGATGCGGAGCGTTTGCCGGCCGGGGCCCTTGGAGCGCTCGGCGGCGCAGAGGCAGCTGTCAGCCACCAGGTCCGGGCAATTCCGGTTGCCGTTGCAAAGCCCCACCGCAGCAGCGGCCGCCGCCACCAAGCAGAGCCAGAAGCCCAGCCCGGGCATGGCGAGGGGGCGGCGGCGGCGGCGCCTCGGCTCTCC